AGGCTGTGTTCACGCCGCCAGCCCCAGTCCTCTCCCTGCGCTCCGACCGAAGCCCGAGCCTCAGCTCGCAGCCCCGCCCGCCCCGGCGGGTGAGCAGACAAGCCTCTCGGGCTGGTGAGTGCCGCTCGGCCCCGATCCTCTGTGCGGGAATCTCCCCGCTTTGCCCTCCGCACCCCTGTTGCTGCGCTCTCTTCTGTGGTTCCGAAGCTTCCCCCTCCGCCACCCACAGTCTCTGCCCGCGAAGGGGCTCCTGGTGTGTGGAGACCTTTCCTCCTTCACGGCTCCCTCCCAGAGGTGCAGGTCCCGTCCCTGTTCTTTTGTCTCTGTTTTTCCTTTTTTCTTTTGCCCTACCCAGGTACGTGGGGAGTTTCTTGCCTTTTGGGAGGTCTGAGGTCTTCTGCCAGCGTTCAGTAGGTGTTCTGTAGGAGTTGTTCCACATGTAGATGTATTTCTGATGTATTTGTGGGGAGGAAGGTGATGTCCACATCTCACTCCTCTGCCATCTTGAAGGTCCCCCTGAAGTTGTTTTTGAAACGCAGGATTCATAGTGTCTTAAAAACTAATGCATCTTGAGTGTGTACTTGGTTGAAAATGGGTCCTAATAAGACTGAGTGAGAGGGACTTCCCTGGTGGCATAGTGGTTAAGAATCTGCCTGCCAATTCAGGGGACATGTGTTCGAGCCCTGGTCCGGGAAGAGACCACATGCTGTGGAGCAACTATGCCCGTACGCCACAACTACTGAGCCTGCGCTCTAGAGCCAGACATCCACAACTACTGAGCCCGTGTGCCACAACTACTGAAGCCCACGTGCCTAGAGCCCATGCTCTGCAACAAGAGAGGCCAGTGTGATGAGAAGCCATTGCGCTGTAACAAAGAGTAGGCCCCACTTGCTGCAACTAGAGAAAACTCACGTGCATCAACGAAGACCCAGTGCAGCCAAAAATAAATAAATAAATTTATTTAAAAAAAAAGACTGAGTGAGGAGACAAGGTTGTTTCTTATGGATTATAGCAGTTGCCCTTAGGTTGTCCCTACATCCAGTCTTCTGCCTTCCAACTCCCCCTACCCAGTCTTTCTTAAGCTCTAAAATATATATAGTATAATTTAAAGTCATTGACTATCAAGCCCTCATTTGCCCGTTAGAGCTCACTGTCAGCAGCCCTTCTGCATGTGTAATACCTCAAGGAAAATGGATTTTACTAATCTTTGCTCTTTCCTTCAGCTAGAGTTCATCTCTTTCCTCAGAACCCCTATAATCACTTTATGTTTCTATTATTGAACTTACCACAGTCTGCCTTGTATCTTTTCTATCCCTTTCTTCTTGACTAAATTACAGTCTTAATAAGAGCCAAGAGCATCTCTTTTCTTCTGACCCCCATGTAGTTTTGTAAAATGTTGTCCTTCAGTAAATGTTCTTCAACTGACCTGAATGTTATATCAAACAGGATCAGGTATCTTGACTGGCTGGAGTTGCCAAGAACAGTTTAATTAGGGCTACAAAATCAAGGTAGATATTTACAATCTGAGAAATCTAAAACAGTGAGGTTGGAGAGAGTAGCAGATGTGGAAATAAATTCCATAGCCTGGTGTGATCTTTTCTTTTTGGGCACAAGGTGGCAGACAGTGCCCGCTTCAGTAATTGCATGCAAGGCAGCTTAGTGAGGCTGAAATTTTCTGCCCTATTTTGGAAATCTGTGTTTACTTAAAAAAAAAAAAATGTGAAGCCAGTGCAGCTTGATGGCTGAAACCTGGGTTTGGATGAAGCACAGACCCACTATCTGACTGCAGGCTGTACTCCCGGATCTCTGATCCTTCTGTTTGGGACTCACCCCTCCATGTGTGCATCATCCCTTAGCAAAGTATCATGGATATTGAAACATTTACAGTTTCCCTTAAATGGATGAAGAAAATCAAACGTTGTCAGTGTTTTGAATAAATATGCATGAACACTGAGGCTTGGAAGGAGGAAACAAAATCTGACCAGAGAATTGAAATGTACAGTTTCCACACTAGGTAGCAGACTAGGACAGACAATCTTCGGAAGGTCCCACCTATAATCACCCAAAGAAAACATTAGTTTTTCTCTATCAGCTCATTTTTTTGTCTCTACAGCAGCAAGTGTTTTTCATGTGATCAAACCATTCACATGTAAAGGTCTGATGCAATCTAGATATAACTAGCAGGTTGATTTCAATTCATTTATCTGCGACTTAAATGCTAATATAGTTAATTGCCTTCAGTTGTATGTGTGTGTGTGTCTGCACCAAAACTGTCTTTTAAAAAAGCAAAGTACCTGTACTAGGAATAGTTTATTTGGGAATTCTGATTGTGACTAATTTATTAGGTGATATGTTAAGTCTTTCTATTGGTACTGGTTTCTGTTATACCCAGGAAATGGAGAAGAACTGAGGGGGAAAAAGTATTCCTTGTGTTCAGGTTCTAAGAAGCATTTCTTTCAGGTTCTCTCTCTCTTTAGAGATATATATGTATGTGTGTGTGTGTGTGTGTGTGTGTATATATATATATATATACACACACACATATATATGCTTACATATTCATATATGTGCATAAATATATACATACACTCTCCATGTGTATGTCTATATATACATACATTCATATATATAATGTATATTATGTATTATGTCTGTCTGTGTGACAAACATATGGTAGTACAGTGAGTGTTTAAGAGCAGAGACACTGGAGCTTGACTGCCTGGATACAAATCCTAGCTTAATAGTTGGATCATTTTCTAACAGTTCTATGCCTCAGTTTTCTCATCTGTAAATGGGGATAATAATACTACTTGTGTAATAGGGTGGCTGTGCAGATTAGAGGATTTAACAGAGCATGGCACATGTTAGCCATTGTTATTTGAGTGTAACTGATTTATTCCATAGCTTATACTACAGCTTTTATTTAGTAAAAAAAAAAAAAAAAAAAAAAAAAAAAGTGTACCTTCTATCTACCCAATGTAGGAGTTTAGATTTTTTGAAAGCACCATAATGTTGTATTGACACTGACTTGTATTCATTTGTGTTATATAGATTATTCAACTCGATAATTAAGGTGCTGTACAGAAAGTGCCAGTCATGATTTCTATTTGGGAACTTTCATCTCAAAGAGACAAGAGAAATAATATGCATCTTGATTACTGTATTCCCTATCTCTCTCTCTTTCTTCTTCTCTTAGCCCTTCTCCTTGAGAAGAATGTCAAAAATGGAGAGGTGTATTCATTAGGAATTCAACTCAGCTATCAATAACCACCAAAAGAGCAGTTGCTTAACAAATCGAGAATTGTTGAAGGAAAGAAGCTGATGGGGCTGGTTGAGAGACATCTCTGTGATCCTTCTGTCCTTTTGTGTTAGAAAACCTACACTCCTCCTATCTCGTTTACTCTCACACTGCTATCACATTCATACTTCTGACACCAGATGTTTGGGGTCTTTTACCCCACACCAAGTATGTCTGTGACCCTAGCTGGGTGTCCCCAAATTTAACTCAGTTCTGACACTATCTACCCAGAGATAGTGTCTGATCCCACAGATTAGGGGCTCAGTCCTACAAGACTGCCTCCGTCCCCCACTTCAGATGCCAATGGCAAGCCCACGTTGTCACTTGTGCTTCCAACCTATTGCCTGTTGATTGGAGGTTCCCAATACCCCCTCCTTGGGTTCCATTAATTTGCTAGAGTGGCTCACAGAACTGAGGAAAACAGTTTATTACTGTTTACCAGTTTATTGTAAAGTGATATGATAAAAGATACAGATGAACGTCCAGATGGAAGAGATGTGTAAGGCAAGTTCTGTGGGAAGGGATGCCAAGCTTTCATGCCCCTCTGGGTGAGCTATTCTCCTATGATGTGTTCACACAACCTGGACGCTCTCTGAACTCCACATTTTGGGGATTTTTATGGAGGTTTCATCACATAGGCATAATCAACTATAAACTCCATTTCCAGCCCCTCTCCCCTCTCTGCAGAATAGTGGGTAGGGTTGAAAATTTCAAGCTTCTAATCGTGGCTGGGTCTTTCTGGTGCCCACTCAGAGTCACCTCATTAGAACAAAAGACACTGCTATCACCCAGGAGATCCAAAGGGATTTAGGAACTCTGTGTCAGGAACTGGGGTCAGAGACCAAATATTAGAACAAAAGATGGTCCTAGTGCTCTTATCACTTAGGAAATTACAAGGGTTTTAGGAGTTCTGTGCCAGGAACTGGGAACAGATACATATGTGTGTGTGTGTGTGTGTGTGTGTGTGTGTGTGTGTGTGTGTACACATATATATATATACATATATATATATATATTTTTTTCCTATTATCTCACGCCCTTCCTTCATGGTCACAAAATGGCTGCTGCACCTCCAGGCATCATGTTGATGTTAAGCAAAGAAGAATAGGGTAAGAAAAAAAGGACAGGTGGTACTAACTGTATACACTCTCTTACCAAGAAGACAAAAAGCCTTCCAGAACTCCACTCCTCTCTCTGACCAGGAGACTTAGGGTTAATTTCCAGAATGGTGTCACAAGGCTATTAGCTGGAAAAGCATCTACCCTAAAAGCCAGAAAAAAGAAATAGGGCTGAGATGATTTGGAATCAGCCGATGAGTAATATCTGCCAAAGTAAGTTTTTGTCCTGGTTTTGCACTTGCGCTTCTCCTTCTCAAATTCTCCCTGTTGCCCTCCCTCTACCCCATTCACCTCTTTGTCTAGAAGGAGGTAGAACTGAGAAAAGTGATAACCTGGAGAGTTGCTTCAGGAAATAAAACTTGCTTTACTAGAAGTTATAAACGTGCAATAGAGGAAAGAGCATAGAAGGACATGAAGCAGGATATCTTTATTAGAGCAAAAGCAAAAGGAACTACTGGCTTGAGCAGAGTGAGATGTAGGGAGGCTCTCAAGCTTTACCCAGTGGATTAATTTCATAGCACTGCCTTTGCCAGAGGCAGAACTAATCTTGTTGCGTCTGAAATGAAGCACCACAGACAACAGACTTCCTTATAGATCATTTAATTACAGATTATCATATAAGAGAGATTGTTTTTCATGTCTACAGAGCAAACAACAAAGGAAGGGTTTTGTGACACTCACAACCTATTTTTAAATGATATCTATTCAAACGTTACCTATTATTCCATGAACCCTTAATGAATTCTTTTTCCTTAAAAAAGCGTCATAACTTTGAGTAGGATTTCCTACTGTGACCGTTAAAATAGCAACAGTTCTCCCCAGGTGGCCAGATTTCTTGGCTTATTCAATTCCTGGCTCTGTCCATCTGATCTGCTATCAGGTGGCTCCCCTTTATACTGTTAAGTCACAGTTGACCAAGTATTCAAATCTTTATCCTGCTGGGAATTTCTAGTCACCATCGCTGTCACTGGAACTGCCACTGTCAGATGATTCACTACTGTCATGCTTTTTAGGGGGGTGAAACCTCCTATTGGAATGGGGCTTTCTGTAACCCCAGGAACCTTTGCTTTGTGACACACCCTTGTTCTGCATAGAATTATTTTGTCTGTGGGGCACAGAATAATTTTTCCTGCTGTGTGTTATTATGGTCCCTTCATTATTGGGGCCATTATGGGAACCTATTTCATTTTTAATTTCATTATCAAGACCACGAGAAGGAATGAACTGGCCCTGACCTTTGCCCTTACTCGGAAATCTTTGTTTTTCATTTGAGGTCACTTGATTCCTTTTAGAATGTTCTGTATCTTTTCTACTACTACCTTTGCCATTTTTCGGAATTTCATTAGTACCTTCAGCTCCATCACTACCGCCATCTTTTCTTTTGTCTTCTGTGGGTGCGTGAGGGTAATGAAACTCTATTTCCCCTTGATGAGCATTTTCGCTGCCGCCATCCACTCTGTTTCCTTCTTTTCCAGAGAGTTTCTTAAAATTGGTGCTACCTATGATGTTGTTGTTGCCCTCCACCAGGCTTACATCAGCAGCATTTGCCTTTTGGGCTGTTTCATCCCTGGTTCCAATGGTATTTCCGCCATTCCCTTCTTTCTCTGGGATCTCATTATAACCTGGTCCTCTCGCATCAGGATTAATGGTCTCAGCTTCACTTGGGCTGGAAAACTCTGTTTGAATATCTGTACCTTCTCGGTCAGGACGAATAGCATCTCCTTTACCAGAAATGTCCTTAAAAGGTGGACCATCTCCACTGAAAGGAGAGATATTGTCTTCCTGCCCTTGGAGATCTGGATAACCACTGCCTTCAAAATCACTGGAGACCTTTTTGGCTTTGGGGAGCTGTTTTAGGTAGTCCATGTTGTGTTGGATACGGTGGGTACTTTTGCTTTTTACTGGAATATTCTGGGCTTGGGAGTCTCTTTGGTGATTCTTCTTAATTTTTGAGGAGGCTTTAGCATAATTGGCATCTGCTGGAACTTTGCTTAAAACATTCCGGGCTTTGTTCTCTTTGTTTTCTTCCCTCAAGAGTTCAATCACAGTCCCTGGCTCCATTATATGGTGCATGTTATTTCTGATGAGAGCTTTGCCGTATTCTTCTTGGTCATGTAGTTTGCTAACAGCATTGTCTCCATCCTCAGTCCCACGATTCCCAGTCGATTCAGGATAAATGGACGTCTTCAGGTCATTGTGGGCATTTTCTTTCTTACTAATCCTGTAGTCTTTATTCATTGTCTGTCTGTTTTCCAGAAGATTTTGAGATTTAGTGCTTTTGTTATTTTCATTGGTTCCAGGGAGGGACACGTCTTTCTCTTTTTCTTGAGACGCTGGCTCTTGATTTCTTCTCTGGCCAGAATGGGGAAGAGCAATATTGTCTTTGTTTTTTTCTTCCTGATAAAGTGTAATTTTCAACATAAAGTCGTTATTTTATGTTAAACTTTTAAAATTTAATAATTCTTAGGCAATAATAATAAATTAAAAAAACCCGCCAGATACTTAATAAAAAGAGTCTTTTAACTCAATAGAGATTTGTTGGTAGAGATAATTCTGGAATGGCCAAAGCAGGTTTCATGGAACAAGAAGTATGAGAAAGGCTTGAAGAGTGGGTAAGGTTCAAATACATGTAAGGAAAATGGTGAGAACATCTTAAGAGTAAGCGGCATATTCACATGTTTGGAAACAGGAAACATTTGAAAGATAATATGAATAACGTTATAAGGCTGGAGTAGAGAAATCCTAAAGAGAATAATAAAGAAGAGAATCCAAATAAGAGAAGTAAGTTTGGAAATATAGATCAGGGCCTGATTTTAAAGGAGGACCTGACTTTAAAGAGGACACTGTGGTCCTCATCTTGTGACTAGTGACACATTGCAAGTGAAATGAAGTTCATCTTTCAAACATGCTTTTTCTTGCTCTCATTCTCTCTCTCTCTCCCTCCCTCCCCCCCACCCCCATTCTCTCTCTTTGCTTTTGCCCTGGTCTTCAAAGGTATAAATCTTTTCCTCTTCTCTGTTTTCTCAACAGAAAATATACAAATAGAAGAATCTAGGTTCTGACATCCAAAGAAAATATTTTGCAGCAGGTGTTGGCCACCCTAGCTTTTGTCTGAAAAATGATTCATTAACTTTATTTTTTTCCCTCTTTTGTCATGTAATAAACCAGACTTGATAGTCTGGGTCAGTAGTTCTCAAATTTAGCATTTCTCGTAACTATTTGGAAGGCTTACTAAAACGAAGACTGTTGGACACAACAGAGTTTCTGATTCAGTGGGCTTGGGGTGGGGCTCTGGAATCTGCATTTATGACAAGTTCCCAGCTAATGCTGATGCTGCTGGTCTGTGACCACCTTTGGAGAACCACTCTTCTGGATCCTAAGTTTAAATAATGAGGTCCGGATGAGAAAAGTCCCTGAGAGAATAATGGGATGAAAAAGAGAAAGTGGAGAAGACGGGTAGAGTGTTTATGCCTGTATCTCAGTTTGTCCTTTTTTGGGGGGGGAAAGGTCTGTAAAATGCTGCTTCATAGGCTGCACCTTACCAACTCGAGGTACAGCCAAGGTGCAAGAAGCTTGAACAATGTGGTCAAGAAGAAAGAGGGGCTGAGATTGATTTTGCCCACACCACTCACTGTTTCTCTGTGGCACAGGCTAGATATGGAAGCATCTGAGAATGGTTAGGAGCTTTCCAGAGGGAGTGAAGTGGCTCTAGAAGGAGCAAAGTAGATGGAGCATATATACTAGGAACAAATGTGAGTCATATGCGAACAAAGAGGGGTCTACATTGTCCATGAGAGCCAGGAGAGCCTGAATCACCACTACCCCAAGGCTGTACTGTTTGGTCCTAAGCTACGGTAGCCAGTGGCTTCATCTTAGGATACCAGCACGGCAAGCAGTACACAAGGGGTCGAGCAACATTGCCCCGTCCATGTCCGAGGATCCCATGTCTTCCTCTCCACTGTGGCTTGAGCCATGTGTGTACATGTGGTATATGGTATATGCTGGATGGTGTAGGCCACCCCCAGCTCCCACACGTGCGTGCACGCCGTCTTAGGGGAAGGAGCATCTGAGCGTTTTTATCCAAAAGGGACTGAAGGGCTTCTTTAAAGAACTATTTCCATGATTGGATAACCTTAAGTTTAAACAGGTTGAATTCAAATTAATTTCCGCACACTCCCTACCCTTTCATTAGCCCACGGGGTAGGAGCTCTTGAGCAACAGAACAATTATAGACAGAATAAATACCATACTTTCCCTTCACCTCGGACTTGTAGGGTGAGCTGAAATTTACAACACCGCTACATAGACCTCTGAACTGGCGGGTAACATGAGATCAAAATAAGAGGTATTTCTTGAGGAACTGGGACATGTAAGAAGTGGGGCTGGGCGCTACATGTTCTAAGCAATACCTGATGATTTATTGAATGGCAGAGGCAGCAGTCCTGCAGCGGTATGGAGGGTGGGCGTGAGGTGGTGTGACAGAGACCTTGTATTCAATCAGGGTCTGCACAGACAGAGGGTCAGAGCTTTGTAGAACCTGGGACTCCAGGCATAAGAATTTGGTTTTATTTTGCAAGGGATGAAGAGCTAGTGAAAGTGCATGACCAAGAGATTAACAAAATAATAATCAGAGGTTTAGGAGGAATTGTGGTAAGAAAGGACAGTCAGGAGGATGCTGCAGTGTCCAGGAATGAGATGTAATCGCTTGGATTAGGATTATGCCAAAGAAAAATGTCACAAAGAAAAATCATCTACTGGTGCCCAAATAGAAGAAGGGTTAATAACTAGAACGTTTACATGCAAAAATGAAGACAAGAGAAAAAGACAACTGTAACATAAGACGTGTTGACGTCGATGGGATATAGAACCTAAGCTCAAAAAAGCAACATCCAGTTAGAGACAGCGTTGGGTGTCACAGCCTCCCAGCCCACGTCCTTTCCAGTTTCTATGACCTATGGTCAGCTTGAACATCCTTGAACATTTTATGAGCTAATTGCTTGTGACTTTTCATGTCAGATCTTTTCATTTATGGATATTCTAATTTCTTCAAGTTTTTTTAAACCTGCAGCTAGTAACTAGTATTCCTTTTTTTTCCTGATGCCCCAGTCCTTAAGGTTATTTCCTCTTTCATATAAAACCCTTCCAGGAAAGTCCAGGTTTCCTCCACATTCACTGGGTGCTTTCTCTTCTCCAGGTTGACATGTGTAGATGGCTCTTATTAGGTCAATATGTTCAGATCCATCCTCAAATAGGAGTACTGTTCTACTTGGAAGACTGCCTGCTTTTATACATAAATCTTATTAATGTTGGAAGCTGTGGGGAATTGTTGACTCAGCTCACACTTGAACCTCAAGATAAAAATGGTTTACAGAAGTGCCCTCTGTTCTTACAAAGCTGGCTCATATGCAGTATACAAAAGTTCCAAAGTGTAGTATTTTTAAGATATAATTTGAAATGACTTATTTGGGGGAGTTATCATTATTCACTAATCTTTTATATTGGCAGGTATATTCTGAAAATAGATAAGGTTTTCTCATGAGGAAAAGTATAATAGAAAAAAACGTTATAGTGAATTACTTTAAACATTTGACCTATTTTAAGACATTACATCTGGGAAATTTTTACACAGACATTTGTATTTTCCTTTGCAAGTAAGTTCATTTGCTCACTGCTAATATACACTTTTGAGTTAAACAGGTACATTATAATAATCCCTTCTTAATTTTTTCCCCTCCCTGTTCTGAAGTGGGAAGTTTTGTTTTATATTTGGTGTTTTTATTGCTTTTAAAATAGTAATATATATACTAATGAATTGTGTACATTTCTTTAAAGACTGAAGAGTTTTTATAAATAAAACATGAAATAACTTTTAAATTGTGATGTGTGATGGTCAATCATTTTTGCACTGCTTATGTCAAATGACTTCCTGTGGCACTGTTGACTGTGTGATGGTTGTACAGTCAGTTGGCTGATCTGCTTTTCTGTCTCCATGCCTTAGCTCATATTATTTTTTTCATGGAGAACAGTCTCTCCCACAGAAATGTTTGCTCAAGGGCTTCCCTGGTGGCGCAGTGCTTGAGAGTCCGCCTGCCGATGCAGGAGACGCGGGTTCGTGCCCCGTTTCGGGAGGATCCCACATGCCGCGGAGCGGCTGGGCCCGTGAGCCATGGCCGCTGAGCCTGCGCGTCCGGAGCCTGTGCTCCGCAAATGGGAGAGGCCACAACAGTGAGAGGCCCGCATAACGCAAGAAAAAAAAAAAAAAAAGAAATGTTTGCTCAAACCCTACTCATCCTCCAAGGTCCAGTTCGATTATTTCCATTATGTAGCTTTCCCTGAACACCACACTAGGAACTAATCTTTTCTACTCCAAGCCCTAAAGCATGATTTTTTGGGTACCACTCACATAGCACTTTGCACATTCTGTCTCGGGTTATAATAATTTTTGTAAGCACCTTTTGTTTCTTTTCTAACTCTAAAATCCTGTAGAGAAAGAGTTAAGTTTTCTCAATCATTTTATCTCTCATAATATCTTGCACAATAGGAAGCTCTCAGCATGTATTTGTTACAACCAATAAGTTTAAAAGGCAGCTAGCTTTAGAGGTGCTAAGTCTTCGAGATGCGTATAAAGAATATTGAGCAGAACAGAATAACATTCTGAAGGGAAACTACTACTTTCATGGGGAATGAGGCCAGATTTGAAGAAAGTAAATAGTCCTTTTGCTGATGGCATTTTAAACTGTTTCTAGCTCTGTGGCCAGTGAGTCTGCAAGAAAGGACTGAGTGAAAAGAATTATTGTTTTATCCCCGTGACAATGCCCTTATTCTTTCTCTTCCAAGCATCCTGACACAGATGGCATCATCTGTGGAATGAACTTAAGGGACACTAAAATGTGCCACTTTTTAGGCCAAAATGATTTCTTTCTAATCCATTCCCCCCTGCCCCATTAGAGCATATGGTAGAATATGTCCAGAAAACCTCCTTACAAAGGATCAAACTTTATTCAGAGGCAATAACATGAAAAACTCAATGGGTGTCCAGTATCCACCAACACCACATCTGCTGTGGCAGGTCCTGAAGCAGGGCAGGGTTTGGGCCAGGGCATGCGGTAGCCCATCTGTGTCAGGAAGACACTGGGACACAGAGTTCCATAGCAGAGATGCTCCAGGAGCCTGGGACCGTGGGAAAAAGATAAAGGCACCAGCCATAGACAGAAACCCCAGAGAAGGCAAAAGTCAACTTTGTCTTCCCTACAGTTTCGCCTAATGTTTGTCCAGAGTTTGGATCATGATAAAATCACTAGGATTCTGCTTACCTTCGCATCAGTTTGATTTTTCCTCCCAGACGAGGTATAAACATACTTAAAAACATAATACCCATGTTTCGCATGGTGGCCCTTGTACATTATCTACAAAAACACAACATTATATTAAGGTGGGTTTATTATCTCTTAGGAAGAAGTTTTCTGGCTCTCTTTTTGATAGTACAAAGGTGTTTTTAACTTGGGTCAAGTCTATTTCTGCATCTAACAAGTGGTAGTACATCTGATAACCGCAGGACGGCGTGTGTCAGCCAGCCCCTGAAGAGAGCAGTTTGTTCCTTTCTTTTCTACCTCTAAGTCTGTTTTCCCTGAGGATGACTGTCAAACAGTTCTCTCCCCCAGGGTGTATCAATCTTATTACCAAATTTCAATGGAAATGGAGCACTTGGACATATTTTCAGGTAGGAGGAGGCAGAGGGATGAGCTGAAAGGCAGATTTTACAGTATTCACGCTGATGGCAAATTGGCAAATCTCCCAGTGTGAACATTCAGGCTCCTAAGCTTGTGGTTTTTGCCTTTGCAGTTTTCAGCTGAGATAGAGAGCGGAAGATTGTTAGTTTTTAGAACAGAATTTTCTGAGACTGCAAGAAGAAACCGTGGTAGGCAGAAGTAAGTTGCAATTTGGTGACACGAAAAGCTGCAGGTACTTATCTAACTTTCTGGTTTTGCATCTGGAAAGCTAACTCCATGTACACGGAATTTCCGCATGAAGACTTGTTAACTCACTTCCCTTTGTTTTCTCCCTCATTTCTCTCTCTGTTCTCACGTACATGTGTGGGAAAATATTGTTTGCTAATAACAATATCCCAGAATTTTTACTCATCCCTCTGAAGGAAGAAATCATTGAAGAGAAAGAATTCCCATTCAGAAGGCTTTTCTCTTTTCTGTCACACACTGTGTGAATTAAAGTGCCAAAATTATGTTGTATGATTTTTCCATTTCCATTCTAGGTACACAAGAATATTTTGACAGTTAAAAATTTCCTCTTATTGACTTTTCTCTTTACAGAGTTGGAAGGGGTGTATTTGAGAAGAATAATTCTGTTTACCCTCTGTTCTTCCACAGTGTCTTGCTTCATTTTCTCAGCCTGTGGTTGCAATGTCTGAAAGGAAACAAGAAATAAAACTTCACTAAACACTTCTTTCTTTCATTTCTTCAAACAGTGAATGTTTCCTTTCTTCTTCTCTCACTGGGGTGTATTATTCAATGTGGAAAATCATTCTGACTCAAAGACGAGGGGCACACACATCACATTTGTTTCTGTATTGAAGGAGGATGCCGACCTTCCTCCCCCAGAGGGAGATAGTGCCGGCTCCACTAGGGAACCACGTTCAAGTGCGGGAGAACAGCTGAGTTGGGAGGGGTGGCACTCCAGGTGAAAAAGCTTGGATGTCATTGGTATCCACTGAAAAAGCTTTCCCTGGCACACTGGGAGTGTTTAGCATCAGTGAACCAAAATCAGAGTTGAATGATATGGATTGCATGTGCGTTGATTGTATAAGTTCAGTCATTGCTATTCGAGTTAAGGTAAGATGGTCCAGCAAGAGTGAAACCGTAGCCCTGCACCTAACGGGAAGGAAAACAGCTGAGGATGGCGCTTCATTGTTGCCAGTTACCTGGGCAGTTTTTTCTTTCAGGGGAAGGGAAAAATGACATTTTGAAAGGTGGTGTTTTATAGAATGTGAGATACAGAATGACACTATAAACCATTAAGCTTTCCATTACTTCCACTATTAAAAATCCAGAATTTTACCTAACATCAAAACCAAGAAAATTACTTCTTTTTTTTTTTCTTTTTGCGGTACACGGGCCTCACTGTTGTGGCCTCTCCCGTTGCGGAGCACAGGCTCCGGACG